ATTCTTTTTTTTTTTTTTTTTTTTTTTTTTTTTTTTTTTTTTTGTGCCAGGGATTCAACTCAGCACCTTGTGTTTGCAAGGCAGGCAGCAGAAACACTAAGCCACATCCCCAGCCCAGCTGTTCCTGTTCTTCTCATCTGCTACTGGCATCTTAGATGTCATTGTGCTTCCACTTGTCTTGGGTCTTAGCAGTTGCCTTTCCTCGACCTCTTGATGCCACCTCCCACACTTGGCCTCCACCGCTCACAGCTCTGTCTGAAGCCCAGTCTGGGTCAGTGCAGGTGAAACACTGCAGAGCCTGTGTCCTGGTGAACTTGTCCCCGCACCCTGAACCAATCAGGTCTGAGGATCAGGAACCTTGCAGCTCCAGGCCCGTCATCCGTGCGGTGATTCCCTGTGTCCTTCTCGTGTATTTGCCATCTGACACGTGTTGGTTTCTCACTGTGAGCTGTAGTCTCTGTGACAGTGACGGGAGGAACATCACATCCCCCATCGTGATGGCCTCTCCACCAGTGAACTGTGTGCCCAGCACATTAGTAATGCTCAGTAGATCATTGTTCAATAAATGTTTGAATAATTCAAAGATTAATCTGTGGTCTTTAAAATTTCACCTTAGGATGGTGTGACTTGGACCTGTATTTACTTCATTTGTTATGCAGATATACATATATTAAATCTTATTTGGGTCTTTTGTTTAGCTTTGGAGTAAATAATCATGATTCGGAATCATGTAAATATGTTACCAAATTTTCTACTTTCTTTAAGTTAAAAGTGAAGATTTACTGAATATTCCCTGTGAAGAGTTGTTACTGTTGTATTTTACTGGAGGGAGCCAACAAAATTATATTAGGCTGTTCCAACTACAAAAATGTATCAGTCACTTCAGAAAGAGGAAAATAAGAAACAGGACTATTAAAATTGGATATAGATAAAGAAATAATTTTCTTTCTAAAATAATCAATCTACTTTCTTTGTTAGTATTACACCATTTAAACAAACAAGGAAACCTAAAGTCAAGCTTAAATAAAGTCTTCAGCGTGATCAGTTATACAGCCAAGAGTAACATAACCCAAATTATGACTAGCTGTGGATGCGTGATCAATGGTCTCGTCTATAAAAAAGTTTCTAGACAGTTATTTTTTTGTGTGGTTCTCATATAATCCCTTATCCCAGCCTGTGTGTGTGAGTTGTAAACTGCGCTGAAATGCCTTGTATTATTAAAGTGCGTGTCTTATACTAAACTTTGTAATTTCATTAGGTGATTCCGGGCAAGGACTGAGGAGATGGATCAAGCAGGTTTTAAATCAAGACTTATCATTCCAGCACATAAAAGTCATCTATCCAACTGCTCCTCCCAGGTATGCAGCCATTGTCCCTGCGCTCAGTGCAACGCGAAGGTGCAGATATGTAGGTGTGCCCCTTCCGTGTTCTGTAGGGTTAGATCCATATTCAAGTCTTTTCCCCAAGTGTCCTCTGTTCTGGGCTGTGTTCTGCTAGGTGAGTAAGTCCCTTCCTATGAAGCATTCCCTGCATCTTGCAGCTCTCCAAGCCTTTTTTATTCCCCTCAGTAACCCCAGGAGAAACTTGATAGATTCAGCAGCATCTTTCTAATAATTGAGGTAAGCTGCCCTCATAGTTTCTGAAAAAGGGTCTTGTGATATTCTTTCTACATTTAAAAGGATTGTTTAGAAATCATGCTTGTTGAATCCATAAAACAGAATAGAACTATGGAATTGACTACTTAGTAAATATTTAAATTTCATAACCAAGCGGACTGTTTGACAAAATTCCCAATAGTAACACTTGGGTAGGGTTTTTTTGGAAAATTTTATTGTAGAAATGAAGTAAAGTTAATTGTCCCACAGGCAGCATCAGCAAGAGGCGGAGAAGTTGGCAGCTCTGCTTAGAGAGAGCTGGCTCCTCGAGAGCAAAGAAGCCAACACTGGTATAATTTTGAAGTCAAGCTGCGTTTTTATAAATATTAAGTTAGCATCATGTAGTCTTTTATTCTGAGCACATGCTGTAAACTAAGGTTTGCAAGTATTTTTGTCTGAGCAAAATAATATGCTGAGCTCTTCAACCCAGTCTGATTTCTGATAGTAATACTTTGATTTCCCTAGGACTTTCCTTCAGTCTCACTTCTGTGGCCTATACATGAAGCTTCACCATCCGATCTTGGGCGTCCTGCTCACTTGGCGACCGAATTCCAAGAGTAGATGGCTTTAGATAGCGGAGAGGAAGCTGTTTACGAAACAAGTCCAGCAGCTCCGAGTCCGATTTCTGTGTTAGTTTACAAGTCTGTTCACACTCAAGGGGCAAGGCCAGGACCTACCTCCAAAACGCCACCTCTGTGAAGTGTCAAGCCCAAATTAGAAGGGCTTGTGGGCTGACGCTTCTCATCATAGGTTAGGAGGAAGCATGCTGGTAAAGTCCACATGCTTAGGGCTGTTCTGTGCATCTTTATTGCCACTGATTTCTGCTTTCACTCCGTGGTTGTCAGTTTCAGTTTTTAATTTTGACCTGTCTTATGGCTTTGCATGTGATCTAGCTTGGTGACTGTTCTCGCATGTTTTTGTTTCTAGATTTGTGTAAATGTCATAAACTCAAGGTAGTTAATAATTATACTCAAATTTTATCTATGCTTAGTGATTCTTTTTAATGGTTCTATCAGTAACAGGGGATAGGTTTTTAAACGCACTTTGGTTCTATCAGTTTTCTCAATGTATTAGACACATAGGATTATCATTTTCCTCATTAATAGCTGCCTTTATCTTTTAAAAAAGGTCACTTTTAATTGCTGATAATACAGTGAAGTACAATTTGCTTAATAGTAGCATAATATACATCAACTTTTCTATGCTTTCTTTATATAGTTTTTCTATCCTTTTACTATTAACCTACCCATGTCAGTTGTATTTAAAAGCTGTTTTAAATATGTAGACAGTATGTAGTTGAGCTTTGGTTTTTCTCTTTGATCTGACATTGTACGTTGTGTCACTTAAATCACTTTTCAGTGTTTTGCTTAAGTCACTTAAACTGAGTTTAACATAGAATTGCAATATATGGATTTAGGTCTGTGGTTTGTATTTCTCTAATCCCATTCTCTCCTTCTTTTGAATTATTTGGACATTTTAGTACTTCATTTTAATTTATCCATTCTTTTGTCCCTGATTGTGCTATGGTACAATATATATGTATAGCAAGCATTTCTCCTTCTTAGAGTTAATTCTTATCATTTTAAGTGAACTGTGGAGGCTTAAATTATACAGGTTTTTTATCCTTCTACTTTATAATTTAAAATTATGTGCAGTTCATCTATATATATTGAAAATTCCACAAAACAAGGTTATAATTTTTGTTTTTAACAGTCATACATATTTTAAAGAGCATAAGAGATGAACAGTAGTCTATTATGCCTTACTTGTGGTTTGTTAAGGCAGATTGTTTTGTTTAGATTAAATTGTTAATTGCCATTTTGGTTATGAGTACTCTTTTCCTCAGCTATGTGTAGAAGATGTTTTTATTCAGCTAAGTAGAAACATATTAAGTAAAAAAATCAATCATTTTGATGTATTAATTGAAATGGAAAATAGAGCTGTATTTTTTTCATTATGTTAATTTGGACTCTGTAATTTAAGTGCCCAATAAAGATTTTTATTTCTGTGACAGATTTGGGCAGTATTTACAATTAATTTGGATTTACTATTAGAATTTCCATTTTTTTTAAAGATAACAATTGTTTTTAACAGCCATTCATCATTTTTATGACCATATAATTTCTGCTGGTGTTTTGAAAAATTCTAAAACTAGTAGGATTTGTATAGTATCCTCTACTCTGTGATTCACTGTTTTTCCACATAAAGTGCACAGTTCTACTTTTAATTAAATATGTGCTCTAAACTAGACCCAGGCACTTTTCATGTCGATGTAGTGAATAATGGACTCCTCTTCACTCTCTCCTTTAGGGTTCTTATCTCAGGCACACCTGGGGATTCCCTCTCCTGGTGCCAGCAGATCTGAACCAGGAATTCTATTAAAAACAGCCATTTTGAAGAAATGGCTGACTTCTTTGCTAAGTCTTTAACACATTTAAATTCCTATTATTAGGTTAAGAACCTGGGGGTGGGGGAGGTTGGAAAATTTTTTAAAGCAACAAAAGAAATATTTGACCATTTTCTAGAAGCTTCAGTGTGGATTTTACCATAGCTGAAGCAAAGATATTCCAAAACAAATTAATTTTGGACATTATGCTGTTTCTAGCTGACACAAATCATTCTCAAGTGACACACAGTGATCATTAACAGTTGTCATTCAGCAAAGTTCATGTAACATTTACTATATGTGTATGTGATAAAAGCGTCTCTAAATTCTAATAATTTATTGTAGTAAAAGACACATTGCCATTAATCCTTCTCAAAGTAGATCCCCTTACTTGAGCACACTCACCCCTCGGTTCTTGCCACTTTCTGAAACAGTTCGGGAAGTCCTTTCCTGAGAACCTTTAGTTGTACTGTTGTGACTGCCTCAGTGTACTGAACTGATTCAAAACGTTCACCTTACGGTCACTTGGTCTGTGGGGAAGAGCTAGAAGTTGCACCATGGCAGATCTGGTGAATGAGGTAGAATAAGATGCACTGAAATGTTTTTTTTTATGTGACAGAAATTATTGAATTGATTCAGCAGCCAAGGCAGCACAGCTAAAGACATTCATGAGAGTGGGGGATTTGTGCAGTGTTTGTTTTTGCTGTTAGTGTTATGCTTTTTTTTTGGTACCAGGGATTGAACCCAGGACCTTGCGCTTGTGAGGCAGGCGTGGTGCCTCTGAACTAAATCTCTAGCCCTCCTTTTTTTTTTTCTTTTTAATCCTGAACATTCTCCATAGTTTTCAGTCATACGCAGTGTGTCAGGATTTGGTCTCACCTGTGGAAAAGATAAAGTCTATTCTCAAAAGCATATAGAGACAGAAAATAAGAAGAAAATTAAACAAACATTATAATTTCCGGTAATGACAAATGCATTAGGACAGCTGGGTAGAGTGGTAGGGTAGGGAGTCTGCGTAGGGGCTGCATGCACAGGGTTGAGTCACAGGGTGGAGGGTCACAGGAGCTCTCGAGAAAGTGATGTCTGTCCACTCCCACCGTGGAGAAAGGCAGTGGAGAGCACGCCGGGTGGGGGACTTACACACAAAGCTCTCCTTTGGAGGAGAGTAGGAGGCGGATGACCTGGAGCCCAAGTACGTGGGGGTCCATAGAGTCAGCGCAGAGAGGAAGGGAAGCCCGGCAGCTACGGTAAAGGTCATGGATGACCTTGTGCTTTTATGACTTCAGGGGAACAGAGGTCAAAACAAAAGTAGGTATCAAGCTGGTGTCTTTTTACTTTTAGAAAACCTTGAGCATTTTTTTCTAGCTTATTATTTTACCCATGTGTAATGGGTTGATTGATTGATTGATTTAGGAGCAACACAGATGTTCTTTGCCAAACATATTTATTTATTGTGGTAATGTCTGAACCATTTTATACCAGCTAATAAAGTGATTTATTTGAAGAAAAAGGTAAATGAGTATAACATATGTGCCAGTTTTTTAGCTGTTTAAAAATCAGTCTTTTATGCCATATTTAAAGGTTGTTCTAACATCTTAGGAGGCTTATGCAAGCTTGATTATATTTTCTTAGCAAAATAGTTCTAAATTATTCTTTGTCTCATTAAATTTTCCTGATTATTTCTTTTGAACAGAAAACTTGAATTTTTTTCAACAAAGTGAGAGAACTAAAAACTGCTAGATTAGTAAAATACTTACATTTGGATTCTACTTCCACAGAGCATCTATCTCTAATTAATTAAAGAAGGCACTGTCAGAGGGGAAAAAGTAAAATGAATGTCATTTTTTCCCATTAATGGCTCAGTTCCCAGAATGATTCACTTTTAGCCTGTGATATCATCCTTATTTAAGTGCTTCGACAGACAAATAAACACTTAGAGAAAGAGCAGAGCAAAATGGAGAGGCGGTAGAAGTAATTCAAAAGGGTAACAATCAAATCTGAACTTTAGAGTGCTGTACGTTAAGTTTCGATTTAGAACTTCTCCCTGCAATTTCAGTGACAATTTGAGCACAATCTGGGCTTGAATGTGGGCCGAGAATGACCGTGGAAAGCACCTGCTCTGATTTTCAGATTGTCCTGAAGTTTCCCAGGAGAAGGCTTAAATGCCTCCTACCCTCTCTTTCTTCCCAGTTCCGATTTATCCATTTCCCTGGAGCTGAGCAGCTTCTAGGGTCAGGAGGTACTAGGGAGTGGGGAGGACTTCGGCCCCTGGACCTCTAGCAGGGAGGTGGTGCAGGATTTCACCTTCTCCACACCAGCTGAGAGCCCGGAAGGAGAATACAAACCCACAGCTCTGTCTGCAGGACTCTGCCCTCCTCTCAGGTTTCAGTGCTCAACTGTTACTTTTCTAATGACAATAAAACATTAATTAGCGTTCCAAAAGGATTTTTTAAAAAAGAGAATTGTTTCAAAGTATTTTAAAGATGGATTTAGCTAGGTGGCACACACCTGCAACTCCAGCTACTGGAGAGGCTGAAGCAAGAGCATCACAAGTTTGAATCCAGCCTGAGCTCCTTAGTGAGACTTTGTCTTAAAATAAAAAAATGAAAAAGGCTGGCCGTGTAATTCAGTGGTGGAGCATTTGCCCCGCATGTGGAAGGCCCTGGGTTCCATCACTGGCACCACCAAACACGTAAACAATGCAGGTATACAAGTTTGCTAAATGTTCCGCTTCATTTATTGGGTAAATGGCGAACGAAGAGCAATGGGTGTCTAACAATAGCCAGAACAGGTATGAGAGAACCCAATTATCGATGGTAGAAGAGAGGTTTACCTCACACAGGTTCAAAACAGAAGTCCACTAAGACCATGCTCATAGGGTCAGTGTGACACTAATTGATAAACAAATGATTGGAATAAAATAGGGCCTTTCCGAGTCACAGTTCCTCGTCTGAATCACAGAACATCGAATGTTACTCGGTTTTCCCAAGGGCCTCGTCTAACAACACTAGATACATTGGAAGGAGGTCAAGTCTATATTACATGTAGTGTCCATCTTAAGTATTCAGGCTAATTTCTCTCACAGAACCCGGGTGGAGAGAGACCAAACCAGGCAGAATAAAATTAAGCCCTTGACAGAGGTGGTACTGCACCTTTTGGAAGGGGGTGTGGGTGTCTCCCTTCCTCAGTTTCCTGGCTGGGTGGGATGCAATGAATTTGCATGTATGAAATAAATTCCCCCAAAATTTAAGGCTTTAAAAGTCAAGCGGAAAACTTAGAATAATAACTGGGATTCTGTATGTAAAAATCAGTGGGCTGGGGAAAACTTCCTAAACAAATTAAGAGAACCAGAAATCCAGTTTCTGGGGAGAAAAAGACATTATAGGAAATGTAAAGCCTTACCTGGTAAAAAGGAGAGCTTAAATACATGTCAGTGTTCAAAAAGAGACTGAGAAAGGAATACTTGAAAAATAGACAAGAAATACTCACCAGTAACAAAGAAGAGACAGGATCCTGCAGCAAATGGCCCATCTTTTAAAGACAGAAAATTAAGTTGCTCAATTAGCTTTAGTAAATATTACCTGAAATTAATATAAGTATAGGAAAGTTAATACACTATGCATTATATGAAGTCTTTAACATAAGACACAGGAAACTGAAACTGTTCATTCAGAACATTAGTTTTTAAAGAACCATTTTATTATCATTCTTCGTTCCTTTCCCCGTTTTCTGTTTGTTTCCAACAGGCCGTACACCCCACTTAGAGGCCGGCTCTCCAGTGTGTGGTTTGACAGGCTGAGGATCTCCATCGACTGCCCCGAGCACCTGGAGTCCATCGATGCCATGTGCCAGGTGCTGACCGAGCTCATCGAGGAGGAAGTCCGGAGCGGCGTCAGCAAGAGCCGGATCCTGCTAGGTAGGACTCGGAGGGCTGCGCCTCTGGCTTGCGCCTCCTCTCCTTCCGGTCATCGGAGTTACTAGGATGCTGTTTTCGACTCTCTCGTACTCGTACATCGCTGACTCAGTCATAGATAAGCGACGCGGTGAGGCTTTCAGAAATGCTGGAATCAAACAACAGCGCATGAACGTGACTTTCTTTATGAATAGTAAGCTATTTTGCCACTTTTAGTGGCAGTTAAAATTTTCTTTCCAGTTTAATTGTTAACAGATTCTTCATTTCGCTTCTTAAAATGTTTTAATTAGCTTAAGTCTTATGAATATAAGATAGAATTACTATTGCTATGATTGAGATAGAGTACAAATCAAAATATACCACCAGACTCATGAAAATTAAACTCTTCTGAGTAAATAAATAGGTCTTCGGCAAGCCCTGTTTCCATGAGAACACAACACCACCTTATGGGAGTTTATTCTGTTTAATACATTTTTTACACTCATCAAATACACAAACTAAAAACATCTCATTTCTCGAAAATGTGCAGAAGTGAGATGGGCTTACAGAATTTGAGTGGTGCAGGACATATTTGGGTAACAGTTTTCTTTCCACATATAACTACCTAATTGTATTTGATGATGAAATTATACACCAAATTAAACATTATGTTCTAAACAACATGAACATACGCATTGATGCCCTAAATGCACAAGATTTGGGTAAATTAATGCCCACGCTATAAAATTCCTTTGTGTTCACTGAAATGCTGAGCCGGCCGTTGAATTGAGGAGGTCGCGTGATGGAAGTGTCGGAATCCGTCTTGGCTGCTGCTCCCACGTCAAGTGATGCCAAGCAGCGCGCCCTGGGCCCGCTCCCTCTGCTCTACTCCTTTACATTTGACCTCAAGCTCGGCTCTAGTAGGTGCAGGTGAGAGGCATTCTGGGAGTGCTGGAAAGAGTGCAAGGAAGGGCAGCAAACCCAGCCCAGGTCCTGGGAGACCTGTAAATATCGGAAAGGTTCCATCATTCACTCTTCAGCAAATATTTTTCAAGTGCCCACAGTGTGCCAGGAAGATGCTTAGAGGGACACACAGATAAATAAGATGGGGTCTCTTTCCCAAATTTCTGACAGCCAGCACACACTCGCGAGTGTGAGATATTTAAAATGAGAACAGTACTCCGGCCAGACTGTGGTACGAATCTCGGACGGCATAACTAGCAGCTCTGCAAAGGAATCGGTCAGGTCTGTTTCCTTTTAGTTCCCAGGGTCCATCACTGCCCAGCACAGAGCGTGTGCCCAGGGAATCTCTAATGAATAGCACCGTGAGTATCATTACCAGCTAGTGAACTGAGGATTTGGGGAATTAAATACAATAGTAGTTTAGAGGAAGAAGGATTCATAGTACTTGGGCTATTAGAGTAGGGTGCGATGGAAAGGGGATTTGAGATGCATAAATTATGAAACTGTTAACTGCTGAAGTGTGGAAGTCTGGGGACAGGGAATGAGATGAACAGCTTGGTAGAAGTGGAAAGGTGACTACCCGCACTAAATTGTTGCCACCTAATCTGTAAATAGTAATACAATGCAGCATCTATCTGTATTACAAAAATAGAGATGTTGCTTATAAAATATTTGCTTCACTCTAGGCTCCCAGGAAATATTTTGTTTGGTCCCCTTTTGTGCTATCCTGTTATTTTATAACGTGCCTCATAATCAGTAAAGGATTATGAAGCATGTGGTGAAGGCAGACATTTGATCAGAATTATACTTTGGAAAGATCTAGCCGAGGGGTGAAAGTTGATCATGGGGAAACAGCCATTGAGTGCATCAGGACGAGCTATTGCAGACTAAAATTGTAGTAGCAGTAGAGGAAGAAATGAGGTTAGGAAGAAAATTGCTCTAAAGTAAAATTACGAAGTCTTCTTCAGTGAAAACTGAAAGGCACCCTGATTAGTGTTGTCCTGGCACCTGTATTAAAGAGGCATCCCACGAGGTGGGGCCTCAGTCTCCCCGCTCCCCAAATCAATGCTTTGTCCAACTCATCTTCAACTACCGGAGAGGCACTGGGTTTTCTTAAGATCAGAGAGCCAGGAAAAATTTTTACTCTAGGTGTACTTCATGTCATACCCTGTGGTTTTCCCATTAAATCGGATCGTTTTAAGATTCTCAGTACACATTGTCAAGTTCCTTTCAAACAGTGGGAACCTCTACTACCCACGTTACAGTGTCCTTATTGCCCACGCATGAATAATGCAGCCGTGGGAAAATTTGGAAAAATGAGGAAACACGAAGTGGTAACTAATTTCATGGTGCTATTTTCATTTCAGTTCTGTCATAGTTGACACCAAAGGCCCTTTGAGTTGAATCTGTCAGTCTTCTCATTTATTTATTTATCCCGAGACTCTCTTGTTCTAAAAATAAGCTTCTCCCACTCTAGAACTTGGATAAATATTCAAATGGATTTTCTGCTGGATCCCCTACAATATGTGGTTTTTCTTTATTATTTACTTAGTTATTTGATTTCCTTTCTTTTTCTTACATGTGTTTCCTTTCTTTGTTGTTCATTTAATTACTTGATTAGTCTGGAGTATTTTGGCTCCCATATAATGAGTGATTTTGATTATTTTCTGAGATACCAAGAGAAATTTGTGAGAAGATAGTCTTATTCATAATAATAAGCCACATGGTGGCACACACCTGTGATCCAAGCATTCAGGAGGCTGAGGCAGGAGGATTGCTGTGGCCAATTTTCAAGACCATCATGGGCTACAAACTAAGTACAAGTACTTAGCAAGACCCTGTCTCAGAAAAAAAAAAAAAAAAGAGGAAGGAAGGGGAAGGGAATGGAGGAAAAGAAAGAAGAAAAGGAAACGAAAGACAAAGGGAGAAAGAAAATATAATTATAAACCAATCAGTAGTATCAAATTTGGAATTACGGTATCATATATGGCCTTATGTATAAATATTGTCAAATCTAAAATTGCGATAGGAAAATGTTTCTTTAGAATATAGGGGTGAGTCGATTCCTGTCTGTATTTCCGGAAGAGCAGGTAGAAGCCTCAGTGTACCTGGCTTATGAGTCAGGTGTGTGCTTGAAGGCGATGAGAGTAAATCCGCAGCGTCCGCCCTGTGCAGCCGCGCGTCCGCTGTAGCGTATGTGGGATCCGCTCCTGTTGTACAAAAATCAGTTCTATTCCTTCCCTTTTTCTATGCTGGGTTCTTCATGAATATTAGCAGTCGATGCATAGAACAAATGGAGAATGCTATACAAACTCCCTTGGGGTTTTTGTTGGAGTTTTTCATTTTACTGCTCTAGCTGAACCTCTTACATGTTTGAGAATGTGACCCCAGAGGCATTGTTACTAATTTATTTAGCATTACTATTTCGAAGTAAATACACCGCATCCCCTGAGTTGCGAACATCTTTGCAACCAGTACTGCAGCCGACATCAGCTAATGAAGTTAAACCTGGGCCCTGCCTTGGGCTCCTGGTCCTGACTCGCCACTCACAGGTGCAGTTTCCTCCGGCTCTGTGTCTTGGACTGTGATGACAGTCCCTCCCTCGGGAATTTTGATAATTAATCAGTCTGTTTATGTGAAACGCTGTACTTAGAAGCGCGCCCTGGTGTTAATGTTGTAAATGTTCTTGCTGTGACGCCAAGCGTTCCATCCACCCCACCGGGATGGCAAACGGTGGTCCTGGAACAGCGCCGCCCCTTGGACACGCGAGGTGGTCACTGCCTCCTTTCAGACGCTCGCTGTCTCCTCCAGAGTCTGAGCTGTGCTCCTCTGCAGTCTCCGTGTCGTGGATCATTTAAACAGAAGCCATTGCGCAGTGTTTCCCTGCTGATTTTTCTACTAGGTCGTTAGGTAAGATTTAAGTGCTCTTCGTAACACTCTGATGATCAAGGAGGGATTACTGGGAAATCAAAAGAGAATTTCATTTGAGATTCCAGTTGAAATTAAATGTGCACACTACATATCAAGGTTATGTGTTTTTAAACATTAAGTATAACAGGAAAATATTTAAAATGTGAGATTGAAAAGAGAATTTGAAGTCAACAAACATAAAAATTGTCAGCTTTATCCTTTTTGCTTACTGTATGATCAAAGCTGGTTTAACATCAGACAGTCTGTGCTGATGGGACCTTGTCTCTGAGATCATGACTGCAACCAGTGGGACTTTGTAAAGAAAACTCCTCTCTACACTTGATGTAAGTGGGAGCCCACCCTTCATCCAGGGTTTTATTTTGATTAGTGCTATTTTATTATGGCCATGAGTTTTAGAAACAATTCTTTGTGTCATAAAGGAACTTCTGGGCAGTCTAGCTTTCTTGGTCCAGTGGAAATGATTCTTCTCATTATTAAATTTTATCTCCAAATTGTTATTAAGAATTTAAGTGCTGGAATGCCAAAAAACCTATCCGAAAGCTTAGGTCAATGAGGTCGATATTGTGTAGAAGGGGCAGTGAGCAGGTCCAACAAGGAGAGGGTAAGTCAGGCTTTCTGGGAGCTGCTTTGAAGAGCGGGTGACCCTCCCACGCAGTCTTCAAGAATGAGTACGAATTTGACTGATAGATGAAGGGAGAGCCATGTGGAGTCATGCAAGATGCAGGCCTCGCACTCTGAGAGGCCGAAGCAGAAGGGTTAAGACTGCCAGAGTAATGTGGTGATCTAAGGAGACCTTGTCTCAAAGTAAAAGGGCTGAGGATGGAGCTCAGTGATACAGTACCACTGGCTTCCATCCCCAGCACTGCAATCTGTCAGTCGATCAATCAATCATCAACTTAGAAAGAGAAGCACATCCCTAAGGGCTAACAAGGAGCAGGCTCTCCAGGAAGCAGTAGCTTGGTGTGTGCATGTGTACCCTGGCTCCCTGCACATGGATTGAGCCGGATGAGGGGCCAGAAGGTGCACGTGGGGCCCGAGTGGCCTCCAGGTGAAGGAACAGCAAGGTAACACACCCAGGAGTTTGGAAGAACAGGGAAGGACCGAGCAACACCCACGCTATTGTAGGGTTT